CCGCGCAGCGCGCCGTTCGGGGCCCGCGTCTCGAGCCGATGGATCCGATTCGTTGCTGACTTTTCGGCCAGTTTTCAGGCGATCGCAAACGTGGATCAAGGGGAATTGCGGGCTTCCGCCGCCGAGCGAGGCGGCGCCGGCCGCGTTTTTTTTTTTTTTTTTTTTTTTTTTTTTTTTTGTTTGGGGGGGGGGGGCGCCTCCCCCGATCCGTGGATTTGGAAGCCGTGCGCCAAATCCATGGACCGCTAATCCATGTTTGCGCGCCCCCGAAGCTCGGGCCGCTCCGACTCTGACGTTTCGTCGATCCGACGCGGCCCGATGTCTGCGCGGCGCTGGCGTTCGTCCTGGCGCGTGCGACCTTGCTCGTTCGATGTGGGTGGGATCTCGTCTCCGTGCAGATGCGGCCCAGTCCGAGGCGCGCGGCGATTGGATCCAGTTTCCCGAGTCGAGTCCGGCTGCTTCTGCCCTCCTCTGCGCGCCGCCGAGGGGGGGTGCCAGATTTAATGCTTTGGCCCAAGCTTTGGCGTTTTTCGCAGGTGCCAGGATGCCTCGGGTTTACTTCCTGTTCCTGTTTGTCTTCTTCCGTCCCTCGCTCCTGTTACCCTCGTCCGGTCGCCGCCCTGTCGTTTTCCATTTTCATGCATTGTGGCGTAATTCGCTTCAATGGTATCCCCGTTTTGATTGCTCTTCACACGGGCCGTTTTGACCGATTCTCCTCTAACCTCAACTCCGCCCATCTGCGGGGTCACCCTGGCGTACAAGTGGCGCCGTCGTGGCGCAAGTGCGGCCAGGTCGTGCTGGCAGACCCATCGCTGCCCGGTATCTGGAGCCGTGTTTTTTTCTCAGGTGCTGCTCCAGGCCCGCGCTCCGGCGTTTGCCAGACATGCTCCATCGACTTAGCCTAAGCTTCGAAGTGGCTTGCGACCATTGCCCAGTCAGCCGCCGCCGCTGCGTAAGACGGCGTGCGCAATACCATCGGATCATATACCTGTTTCCTGGCCCCCTCCCCCTCCGTCCTCCCCCCTTCTGTCTCTCCTTTCCCTTCCCTCTGGACGCCGTTGGGGTTTTACCCCTGGCCGTGCCAGTGTTTCCAGCGGGCGATGTTCAGGGACGAATTCGATGATATGTGCGTGGCGCGAAACCTTCTTATTAATATTGACAGATATTCCTTGGACAACTGTTCAAGTTGAGCCGTGCATTTTCTTGCGTGGGTGGTTGTCTCAACTCAATTCGAGCTGTAGGCAAGCTAAGGAGCTGTCAAGCACATCTCCATGATACCGCACATTCTCGCTTGTGGTGCGCTGCCATTACGACGCCCGCTTTACGCCGAGCTGCCCCTGAGCGTCTTTTACGCCCTGGGCCCTTCGGCCTTCCCCGCTGTTCCTCCAGCCTTTTTCTCCCCCTGCCTGTCTTCGCGCTGTTTGGCTCTCATCTCTCGCGCCAGGGACTCGGTGGTCCACCGTCTTTTGGGTTGTGTGTTGTATTCGAGCTGCTGAGATACGCAGAGTGTTTTCATTTTTTTGGTTTCTGCCAGGGTGCGACTGCTTAGCTCGCATCCCACTTTGGCTTTCCGTGTGACGCGTGCGTTTCGTTTCTTGCCGGTCGCACTGCACTTGCGTGCTGGCCTCGCCCTGATCGTTACTCGGATGTGTCCGCTCCCTTCTCCTCCTCCTCGTCCTCCTCCTGTTCCTCCTCGTCCTCCTCGTGCTTCTCCTCCTCGTGCTTCTCCTCCTCCTCCTCCTCCTCCTCCTCCTCCTCCTCCTCCTCCCCCTCCCCCTCCCCCTCCCCCTCCCGCTCCCCCTCCTGCTCCATTCCGTTTCCTATAAGCAATTTTTCCCTGTCGCACCCCGAGGCCAGTTTTTTGGCGCGGGCCGGGCGTTTCGCTTGATAATTCCTCACCAGCTATGACCCTGAAGCTTAAAAACGTTGGCCGCAGATTTACATTTGGAGCGTGGGTTGTTTTCAAAATGTGGCTCTCGCCTTAGCGCCGCGTGCATTCGATTTAGAACTCTGCAAGAGTTCCACGGATTGAGGACGGGCCGTTTTCAAAAGGTGGTTCTCGCTGGAGCACCGCGCACATTCGTTAAAAACAATTGCAATAACTTCACGGGTTGGGGGCGGTTCCTTTTCAAACGGTGGTTCTCGCCTTAGTGGCGCGCGCATTCGTCTTAACATTCGCATGTGCAGAAGTTTCACGGATCGGCGGTGGGTGGTTTTCAGCATGTGGTTCAGCACCGCGTACACTCGTCTTGCAAATTTCCAAACGCTTCACAGATTGAGGGCGGCCCTTTTTCAACATGTGGCTCTCGCGTTAGCCGCGCGCGCATTCGTTTAAACACTTTGCGAGAGTTTTACACGGATTCCCATGGCCAGCGTAGCAGAAATAGTGTTTTTGGAAGGAATCAGCATTATGAGGGTGCAACAGTTGCGTTGGTTCGCGGTGTTACAGTCCCAAGAATAACGCTCTTGCGCGAGATCGTCAAGACGCAACAATCCGTGGCGTTGGAATCCCGAGCAATATGTTGGCATGCTTTAGAGTCTTCAAACGGTTGTCTTCCGACGAGGCAGTTCCCTCAATGGATATGTACCGTTGTAGGGGCCTGCGAAGAAGGAGCTTGGGGGAGGGTTTATTCCAACATCGTTGATGACTCTTGAGTCTAGAGTGGTCCTCCTCCTCCTCCGCCTCCTCCTCCTCCTCCTCCTCCTCCTCATCCTCCTCCTCCTCCCGCCCCCCCCGGACAGCACAACGGCATAAGCACAAGCTGTCGGAGGTCCGCGCGGATACTCCTCGGATCGGCGCTGGGGCGCCCCCCTGTCGGCCCCTCCAGCGTCGAGGGAGGGAGGAGAGGGGAAGGGGGGAGGAGGGAGGGAGGGAGGGAAGGACAGAGGGCGGGCTCCTGGCCAGCTCCGCGCGCCATGGAGGGGGGTGCAGCGAAATTCCCAAGACATCCGCGCGCCGCCCCGGATCATCCGCGCGGTCCCGTTTATGTCGTTTATTTTCTTCCATCAACAAGATTGCGCTTGCATCCTTATTTCTTCGGCGAATCCTCAGCTGCAGGTCCTGGAGTGGTTGGCATGGTGCTGCTGCACCTGGCCCGGCGCAGACGTCCAGGAGTCTGGCCACCTTCCCTTGCAACCTTGCAGCGGACTTCGACGCCAGTGCGCCCCCCTCCGTGCTTCCTCGTCCTCCTCCCCGCCGCCGCGCCTCCTCCGCCGCCTCCTCCTCCTCCTCCTCCTCCTCCTCCTCCTCCAGTGTGCACAGCTCGCCCTCTCCTGATTGCGCACGACACGATGGTGTTTCCGTGGAGGTCCCAGGTCCGCTACGACCCTCGTCGGCGGACGGAGGCATGATCAGCGCAGTGGGAGGGGAGGGGTGGGAGGGGCCAGACGTCAGATGTGGCGCGAGCGCACCTGGCTTGTGCCCTCTCCCTCCCCGCTTCCACGGGAGGTGTGGCGGCGGTGGAGGGCCGCCCGACGTCACATGCCGTCACCACCCCGGGGGAGCGGGCGTGCGGACTTAGCGTAGGCTTTGCGTGAGGAGCCCTCGTGCTGTGCATCGCAGCTCCGTGGCCTTTTCTTGTCCCCCGCTTTTGCAGGTGGGGAGCGCCCCTTCTTTTTCGTCTGCCTCCCCCATGCAGAAGGGCAATATACATCGAGAGAGAGGGACTCACACATACATACACATGTACATACATGGAGAGAGCGAGAGAGAGAGAGAGAGTTAGAGAGAGAGAGAGAGAGAAGGAGCCAACGAGATGGACAGATGACCTCATGCATGCTCATCTGTGCATTTGCACATCTTCAAAGTTCGCTTCTCTTCGAGCAAGCTCAGCACCAGCGGATGGACAAGACGTCTGCGTACACGACAGCTCTACACAGGCGGCATGGGCGCTGGACCTGGGACCCGCCGCGAACCATCGGCATATCTTTTCCTGAGTGGCGAGGGTGTGGTAATCATCAGCAGCGCCAGAAGCTGTCGGAGCCGCGTTGGCACTAACGGTTGGGCGTCCGAGGTCCTGCAGATAGACGCGCATTGCACGAGACGGGCCTCTCGAAGAGTTGATGAAAGATGCTGCCACCGATTCGTGAACGCTCATACAGAAAGGGTACTTTCGGTAGTAAACCATGGGAGCCTGGTATACCCTCTTAATTCCGCCTTTAGCGTCGATTTACGTCGATTGGCGTCTGGAGTCGGTGAGATAGCGCCGATTTAGTGTCGGTTAGCGTCGATCGGCGTCAACTTCGAGTCGATTAGCGTCGATTTAGCTTCGACTAGCGTCGATTCGCAAGAGCCGACAATATGGTACGGGAGGCTCCCATGAGTTGCCACCGAACTTGGGAGGTCTGATCCTCGAGCCGCCGCCAGTGTAACGTCTCGAGCTCGTCGGGAGGGGGCGTGGTCCTCGACGAGTCACGCGTCCCTCCTCCACCTCCCCCTCGTGCGACCGCTGGTTAACAGCTGCCGCTGCCGCATCGCGCACGAGGGTCGCCGTAATCGCCTCTCGCCGTGAGGCCACCGCGAGCGCCCGGCAATGACCAGGGTCGCAGTCGCACGTGCCACACATCTCAGAGAAGAAGAAACGGCGTGAGAACAAAGTTTCGGAGCCCCACTCGGACTGCTTTGATCGGCGCTGGTGCCCGCGCGCCATCAAGCTGTGGCGAAGCGTCCTGGTTTGCCCATAGGCCCACCGCATGATGTTCTAAGAGCCCCCTGTGGTCTGCACGATAACCTGAGAACAGTTCTGGATGAGGCGGTCTATCGCCCATCCCTCGGTGCCATGCTCTCAGAGAACATGGCTCTTGTTGTTGCAGCGTTCTCTTGTCCTGAGCGCATGTCGTGGCCGGCCTATGGGGATGCCGGGACGGTCGGTCCCTGCTCGAATCGGGGGCTTTGAGACGGGGGTCGATGCAAACGGGGGTCAGCCAGGGCGTTGGGTCTTGGAGGATCCTGCAGAGCCAGGGGCGCATACACTGATCCCTGGGCTTGGGTGCAGGATCCTGCTGGATCTGGCAGGGTCCTGCAAGGCCTGACCGACCCAGGTCAGGACTGACCCAGGTCAGAAGATCCCCGATCAAAGGGAGGGGGTCCGTTAGGGTTTCTCCGAAGGGCTTAGGCGACCCGTCCTCCTCCTCCTCCTCCTCCTCCTCCCTCCTCCTCCTCCTCCTCCTCCTCCTCCTCCTCCTGCCCCTCCTGCTCCTCCTGCTCCTCCTCCTCCTGCTCCTCCTCTTCCTCCTCCTCGGGTCGCCGACGGCCCTGGGGGAACCCGTGCAGGTCCGCTTCTTCTTCTCCCGACACCGGCGGGCTGTTGTTGGGCCGGCGGGCCCTCCGGAATTCCGAGCCAGCCCGGCGGCCCGCAGTGTTGGGGGGCAGGACGGGCCGCGGGGGCGGCCTTCCAGATGGGGCCCCTCCCCTGCCGCTCCGAGGGCGCGCGTCGCGCGTGACTCCGAGGGGGCAAGCACGGGGAGCATGGCCACGATGTCTTGGAGATCTTGTCGATGTCGATCCTGGGCATGGTCCGTGGTCGGTCGTCGGCCCAGTGTGGCGAGGATGGTCCACGAGTTGGCGTTGGCCAAGATCGACGGTGACGAAGATCGGCACGACGTGTTTACGCGTTCAGGAGGACAAGGAGGAGGCGGAGGAGGAGGAGGAGGAAGAGGAGGAGGAGCAGGAGGAGGAGGAGGAGGAGCAGGAGGTGCAGGAGGAGGAGGAGGAGGAGGAGGAGGAGGAGGAGGAGGAGGAGGAGGAGGAGGAGGAGGAGGAGGAGGAGCAGGAGGAGCAGGAGGAGCAGAAGGAGCAGGAGGTGCCTGAGGAGGAGCAGCAGGATGAGCAGGAGGAGCATGAGGTGGAGGAGGAGGAGGAGGTGGAGAAGGAGGATGAGGAGCAGGAGGAGGAGGAAGAGGAGGAGGAGGACGAAGAGGAGGAGGAATAATACTAAGCATGCTAATACTAACATTCGCCATCTGCTAGTAGGAGGAATACTACTACCATGACAATAATGATAAGCTTGTGAATGCGAACGATATCAATATACATAACAGTAATCATATCGTACTAAGGCTACGATTGCTACGAAAATGATTAACAGCACGAAGGCTACAACTAATCTTACTACGACTAATACGAGTAGTCATATTAATGCGAGCACTAGGCGTACGACTAAATACTAATACTATTAACACCACTTTCACATACTAATAACACTACTAATAATAATAACACGAGGATGAGGAAGAGGAGGAGGATCAGGAGGAGGAGCAGGAGGAGGCGGAGGAGGAGGAGGAGGAGCAAGAGGAGCAGGAGGAGGAGGAGGAGGAGGAGGAGGAGGAGGAGGAGGAGGAGGAGGAGGAGGAGCAGGAGGAGCAGGAGGAGCAGAAGGAGCAGGACGTGCCTGAGGAGGAGCAGCAGGATGAGCAGGACGAGGATGAGGTGGAGGAGGAGGAGAAGGAGGAGGAGGAGGAGGCGAAGGAGGAGGAGGCGGAGGAGGAGGAGGAGGAGGAGGAGGAGGAGGAGAGAGGGAGGAGGCGGAGGAGGCGGAGAAGGAGGTCTTGGCCATGGTCCCCGCTGTTTCTACCCTCCACGGCTGGAGGGATTCGGGGCCGTTTTGGGAGGCCCCGCGCCTTCTCAGAGCCCAGGCCCCCGCGCGTCGTGCTACACATCTCGGCGGACGGTCCTTGTGGCAGCTTTTGCGGCCTCCCAGGGCCGTCGCCTGTCCCCCGGGAACGTGAAAACCACCACCCCTCGGAGGAGAGACCGGTGCCCATGCCATCGTTTTCGCCCGCTTGGGCCTCCTGGAAGGCTCTCGTCGTACCGCTGGATTTGCTTCGAACTTCTTGGTCAGAGCGCATCCTGGGAGAGGTACGGGGAGTCGCGGTTCCAGTACCTTTCGGTTTCTCCAGTCGTCCGACCCCGGGCCGCCGGCACACGCTTCGGGACGAACCGCCGGCCCCCAGGAAGGGTTTTCGAGACCTCCTGCGGGTGCATGCCGTAACAAAGCAGCACGGCGTAGGATGCCTGGGTTTCTCAGAATGCCGCCCCCCCCCTCGTCCCAGGCCTCTCCTGCTGCTCGCCGCCGTCGTGCCAGTGGTCATGGGGCCAGCGGGCCAGCGAGCAGCCTGCCGAGGTCTCTCGCAAGGGCCCCAGACAGCTCACGTCCGTGACTTCTTCACAGCGTGGTTCCCAAGAGTCCTGGACCCCTTCCCAGGGACTGCCTTTTCATCCCGAGTCGCACTTTGACTGCCGCGGGGCCTGGCAAGGGCCCCCAGAGGCCGAAAACTGCTAAAGGAATCCCGCCGTGATTTTCCCCAACCGTCCTGTGGTGTTGGGTCTTTGTTTTGAAGAAACAGCGCCCCGCGTTCTCCTTCCTCCTCCGCCCGCTGCCCCCTCCCTGCTTCCTCCTCTCACCCCTTTTTTTGCCCTCCGCTCAAAGAAGCCGCCACAGGCTCTTCTAGCCTTGCGCAGCCATGGGTCCTCCTGTCTCCCAAGCATCCTATGGTGTAGAGTCCTCGCTTCGAAGAGACAGCGCCCCGCGCCCCACATCCTTCCTCCCGCCTCCTCCCTCCTCCCATCCCTGCCTCGGCCCTCCGTGTGTCAACCATTGTGTCTCACCCTCACACGTTTCGTGGCCGCACGGGGAGCTCCAGCGGAGGTCTCAGTGGCGCAGTTCGCATGTGCGCGTCACCCCCGTTTCGGCACACACCCCTCACGTTTCGTGGCCCGAGAGGGAGCTCCATCTGAGGGCCCAGTGGCACAATTCGCATGTGGGCGTCACCCTCTTTTCGGCACGCCCCTCACACGTTTCGCGGCCCCATCGGGAGCTACACCAGAGGTCCCAGGTGACGCAGCCCGCATGCGTCCCCGCTATCCATTTCGGCACACTCCTCACACGCTTCGTGGCCCCATAGGGAGCTCCACCGAAGGCCTTAGTGGCACAGTTCGCATGTGGGCGTCACCCCCGTTTCGGCCCCCCCTCACGCGCTTCTTGGCCTCATAAAGGAGCTCCACCGAGGGTGCCCGTGGCGCAGACCGCATGCGTCCCATCCAACGATGTCGGCACACCCCTCACACGTTTCGTGGCCCCATAGGGAGCTGCACCGAATGTTCCAGTGGCGCAAACCGCATACGTCCCAGCTGCCTACATCGGCACACCCGTTTCGTGGCCCCAGTGGGAGCTCTACCGAAGGCCCCAGTGGGGCAGTCCGCATGAGTCCTAGCCGTCAATTTCGGCACAACCCTCACACCTCACACGTATCGTTGCCCCATAGGGAGCTCCACCGAAGGCCTCAGTGGCACAGTTTGCATGTGGGCGTCACCCCCGCTTCGGCATGCATGCGTCTCATCCAACGATGTCGGCACACCCCTCACACGTTCCGTGGCGCCCCATAGGGAGTTCCAGGGAAGGTCCCAGTGGCGCAGTTCGCATGTGAGCGTCACCCCGTTTCCGGCACACACACACACACCCCTCACGTTTCGTGGCCCCAGAGGGAGCTCCATCTGAGGGCCCAGTGGCACAATTCGCATGTGGGTCGTCACCCCCGTTTCGGCACAGCCCTCACACGTTTCGTGGCTCTATGAGAAGCTTCACCGGAGGTCCCAGTGACGCAGCCCGCATGCGTCTTAGTCGCCCATTTCGGCACACCCCTCACACGTTTCGTGGCCCCATAGGGAGCTCCACCGAAGGCCCCAGTGGCGCAGTTCGCATTCGCGCGTCACCCCCGTTTCGGCTCACCCCTCAAACGTTTCGTGGCCCCAGAGGGAGGTCCACCGAAGGCCCCAGTGGCGCAGCCCGCATGCGTCCCGTTCACCCATTTCTGCACACCCCTCACACGTTTCGTGGCGCTATCCGAAGGCACCAGCGGCGCAGCCCGCATGCGTCTCCATTATCCACATTTCGGTACACCCCTTACGTTCCGTGGCCCCAGAGGGAGTTCCACCGAAGGCCCCCCTGGCGCAACCCGCATGCGTCCCCGCCACCTATTTCGGCACACACCCCTCACACGTTTTGTGGTCCCATAGGGACCACGGCCCCGTTGGCAGCGTCCGCATGGCGGTCCCGCCTCATTTCGCACTCCGTTCACGCGCTCTGTGCCCCCAGAAGAAGATCCACCGAAGGCGACATTCATGACGAAGGTACTCACAACTGCAGATGGTTGGGTCTTTCGCCAGGCTGATTTCACGCCGCGAGGACGACGGGGCCCTCAGATGTTCAGCATCGTCTAGCCGATCCCAATCCCCACCGGGCCACGGTAGCTCAGCCCCAGCAGCCCTCCCCCCCAGGTGAGCGACGCAAACACAGGGGTCGACTTCGCCGACCTTCGCGCGGAATCTGCCCGCGTGAGGTTTGCGCGTAGGCGCCCGCGTCTCCAACGCAGTGCCGCGCTGGGCGGCCCGAGTAAGCTGAAGCGTAAGGTCGATGTGCTATCTCGTGTAAGACCTGTTTTTGATCGTCGCTCACCTTCATGGGGCCTCCTGGGACCATCTCGAGGCGGAAGACTCGAAACGTCGGCTCATGCTCCCCCTCCGGAGGGGCCATCTTGGGGCCGTTTTTAGGGCCTCTGAAGCCGTCCTGGGCGCCCTTGGGGCAGTCATGGAGCCCTGTCCTGAGGCGGTGTTGGAGGCCCCTTGGGCTGTCGTGGATTGGGTGGGGAGAGGTCCCGCGAAACACGAAAGGAACAGCAGATTCATCCCCGCTCGCGGGGGCAAGTCCTCGGCCAGCGGGGCCGAGAGGCTATGCCAGTGGGGACGGGGATTGGTTGGGTGATGCGCAGAGGCCTTCCCGAGGATTCCCCAGATGGAGGAAGAAAAACGGCATGCAGGTCCGCGCGGATTTCTGGGATCGGCGCGCCAGAGGTGTCGCCAGGAGGACCCAGTGCCGATCCCCGAAACATCCGCGCGGAGCTCCACGAGTTTGAGCTCATGCAGTCTTTCTCTCTTTCGCCAGAGCCCCCCGCGAGTCCTCCGAGGCCTCTGGGCTACCCGGGCACCCCGTCGGGCGCACGCGAACATGGATGAGTGATCTGTGGATTTGGCGCGTGGGCGCCAGATCCACGGATCGGGGGACGCACCACCCGTGCCGCCTCGTTAGGCGACGGGGCGCGTCGTTTTTGTTTGGCAATGGGACCCGTCGCAAAAATCCACGCACCAGGAGCCAACGCCCGCGTCGTCACGACACGAGCCTGCTGTTCTAGCTTGACTGAGCACCATCGCCACCACCCTTGACCCCCGGCTGCCTCCGCCCTCCAGGCGGTTGGTAATGGCGGTCATGGTGGTCATGACGGTGGTGTGTTTGCGCTCCTCTGTCGCCCAGAGGCTGGCCCCATGACCTCGGCCGCGCCGATGTGGGCTGTGCGAGCCCTCTTGGCCCCGAGGTCAGTGCTGAACGTACCCAAAAAATAGTCATTCAGGCCGTCTCTAGCGGCGGCGCAAAAAAGGCTCCGCTGGTGGGGGTGCTCATGCCCGCCGTCGCCGTTCTCGCGCTTCCGCCGCTCCGCTCCACGGCCCCTGAGGATCGGGATGGGGATTGAATTGTGAGCCGGAGGGGTCGAAGGAGGAGGAGGAGGAGAAGGAGGAGGAGGAGGAGGAGGAGGGGGAGGGGAGGAGGAGGGAGGAGGGAGGAGGGAGGGAGGGGGATGAGGTAGGAGGGAGGAGGGAGGTGGGGAGAGGGAGGAGGGAGGAGGGAGGAGGAGGAGGAGGGAGGAGGGAGGAGGGAGGAGGAGAGGAGAGACGAGGGAGGAGGAGGGAGGAGGGGAGGAGGGAGGAGGGAGGAGGGAGGAAGGAGGAGGGAGGAGGAGGGAGGAGGGAGGAGGGAGGAGGTTGTGCGCTCCGTAGCCATTCGGGCTCAAGCTTCGCTCTGCGTGCGCTGCACCGCCCACATAGGATTCTGCCGAGATCTGCCGCCGGTGGCACCAGTCATGGAGCGCGTGGAGCTTGGGGAGGTCGGCGGCGAAGCGAGCGGGTCGGAGCAGCTCTTGGTCCAGGACGCTCGCGCCCGGCGCTCGCCCTGGCGAGGGGCGGGCGGCGCTGCCGCGGGTGCGCTGCTCCTGGCCGGCGCCGGCGGGGCGGCGGCGCATTTTGCGCTGCGCGGGGCGGCCTCGGGCGCGGGCCCCCGCCAGGGCAAGGTTCAGACGATTGGCTTTCCCGCGCGCGACCAGTGCTCCAACTGGGACGAGGACTGCTTCAGCACGGGGTGCTGCAACGTGGCGGGCCTGACCTGCTTCCAGACCAAGGCAGGCAAGGGCGAATGCCTGAAGAACTGCACGCCCAGCGATACCAAGCTCTGCAACCAGCCGCAAGAGATCATGGAGCCGGTCTTGGTGGATGCTGCAGTGTACGACCCGACGCTGTATTGCTTCGCGATAGTCATGCAGGACATCGGCAGCACGAAGAAGTACTACGATCTGGAGCTGCTCCAGGGAGCGTATGACAAGGGGATCGGCATCTTTGGTTGTGATTCCTGGGGGGTCTTCAGCGACGCAGAGGCCGATCTTGCGCCCGGCGTTCCGGTCACGAAGGTGGATGACGTCGACGGGGACTTCCACTACGCGAAGCGGGAGGAGACTGGCACCTGGCTGAACACTGGCTTGCACTACCAGGCTTGGAAGGCAATTCAGGCAGAGGGAAAGTATGCGACTGCGAACTGGGTCGTGAAGCTCGATGCGGACGCGGTCATGATCACGAGCCGGTTGAGGTACTGGCTGTCAGACAAGTACGTCCCGCCTCAGGGCATCTACCTCGAGA